TATATATATATATATATATATATATATAAAGCTTTACAAGCACGGAGCTTAAATCGCGCGAAAGTAAAAAAGATGATCGTCTAGTCTGGGAAGCTTATGGTTTGAAATTATTTTTGCGTTGGTTTATTTGAAATAATACTTTATGCATGTATATACCCTATATGCATTTATTAAAGACGTTGTATGTTTTTTTTATGCATACCTACACAGAGAACACATGTATATACGTGTAGCCTTCAACGTAGAGAGCTCCGGAAATAATATTTCTATGGGACGTTCACACGCTTCAAGCGATGATCAACCTTCTACGTATCCTACGCGCTTATATTATTTTAAATAATAATAAGAAGAATATATACCGAGAGAAAGAAATAACTATTAATATATATATATGTGAACATATGTTAATTCGTTAATCTATGAAACAATTACACCGATCAATTAAAGTATGAAATTGAAATTTGATTTGTCTTCAAAAGTTGGCTGTTGTTTTTAGAACAATGCTCACTGTTATTTCATATATTAACTGAATTATGCACCTTAACGGTAACATATATATCTATACGTTTACATCTATACTGTTTATTAAAATTGAACGCACCCTTTCCGTACTCGTACCTAGCAGTATGCGCGTTGCACGCACACTGGTTTGTGTTTACGTCATCGTCGATAGAAAAACGACGAAAGTAAATACGTCGGAAATGTAATCGAAATTTGTACTATTTTCCTTTGTTTTCCTTTTTTATTATATTGGCATAGTAAACTGTATGAACTATTGCATTGATTCGACAAGGATACTTTTTGTGCAAGTAATATGTACGAGTTTGTACGGATCAGTGTACGTATATGAATCGGTTATCCTTCAAACGGTTGGTCTAATCTGATATAAAAGATCGCGATCTAGCCGAGAAGGAGAACAAAAGAGAGAAATAATAATAAGAAAAAAAAAAACAAATAAAAACTGAGAGAACATCGCGTTTCGTTTAGATCACAACAAGCTACACCGTTTAAAGCACGGCTTCTCCTGTTTTCCACTGGGCTTTTTATAATCCTCTGGAATATTAGGACTCTCCTCGATGATTTTCTTCTTACCGTCGTCGCGTTCGCCGTTGCAATTGGTTGCAGGATGATGCGCATTCGGCGCTGGGTTATCAAAGAGCACCGCCGCACGCCGAACTTCTCGTTCTGATTTTCGTTGCGATGAAGATGGCACGTAACACACGACACACACACAGAGAGAGCGAGAGCATGCAGAGAAAAAATATAGAGACTCACGGATAATAACGAAGGGTTCCGTGTCAGGGACCGAGATTATTAGGTCAAGGGGGTTTGTGTGTCGGGATTATTCGGGATTTGTCGAATAAATGGACAATATTTTGGTGGAACGGGAGGTTGGTTTTGCATTACAGACCGGTGGCCGAAGAGTCGTGGCGTCGCGAGGGCGGCACGTTGCTGGCGTTGCTGAGGTAAACCGTGGCCGCTGAGGAGGGCGACGCCCCTGTTTGACTGTTTTGGCTGTTGCTGCTCGAACTGCTCGAACCACTGCCCACGCTTCCTGTGCTGCCAGCTAGTCATGCAACCAATCCAACCAAAAAACAAAAGAAAATACGAGCTAGTTTCAGCCATCATCCAATAAGCGAGAGAGAACCAACGAAAGTAACACAAATGGGATACAAGTATATATACCATCATACAGGCCATTCTCAAATTTGCGAATATACATAACTTCATATAACTTTATTTGCTTGCTTCGACTATTTACAAGTTAACTTCTTATATCGCGTAAACTCGTCTCGCATAAGATGTTTCGAAGCTTGCATTCAAGCACAAAGTGGTCACTTCCAAACATTTTTATGCAAGTACACCATTGCAATTGTATCAACTTTTTTTCTTATTTCAGCCTGCTGAAGCCACCCCTGAAGTTATGCTCACATATTTTCAGAATACCTCTGTACATTTATTTGTATACGAAAGAGAAAAGAGAGAAAACGATATTTGAAGTTTTTCTAATTATTTGGGAGCTGTTATAAATACCGATAAAATGTTTCAAAGTATTGAGAACACGATGATGCTTCGTCCCTCTAGTTTTTCTTTTTCTTTCTTCTCATCTTTCTTTCTTTTCATCTTTCTATACTTATCGCGTATTCGAGAGAAGGAAAAACACAAAGTCGGGGAACTTAAAAATGTACTCTGGAGACGGTACAACAACACGTTGGTCCAAATGTTAAGAAAGCAAAATACAATAATATATCGATGGATTTGAGAGAGATAGATATTAATTATTCTTACAATTAATTACTATATCAATTAGACAGTTTTGACGAAAGCGGACAGTACCGAGGATCGAGAGTTTGCGGATATTGCAATGCAATGCAATATATGACATCGTGATAAGGATAGTGCTCGAGTGATTCGCCAAAGGACGATATCATATCTACGGTGCTTAGAAACATATGTGTGTTTGTGTGTACGAGTGTGTTTCTGAAATATTTCAAAGCTTGGACTCGGTATGAAAACGAATAACGATGATCGCGTGCGTGACTATGGGAATGATTAGATAATTAGTAGAATAACGAAAGGTTCAATAATCTACTTACTTTTTTATAATCCTGTAGCTCGTAAATTCTCGAGGCGATGATTTGTTCTTTTTTTTTTATGACAAATTATGTATGAGTAATGATATAAATTTGATCTAAGGAATGACGATTATGATCAAAGAACGTGGTGATTGGCGTTTGCTTGTGCGTGAATAAAACCAAGTCATGCTTCGATTCTAAGGGATATGTGCTTTTTACAAAATCTATACACGCAGCCATCTTCTTACCATCAATGTTCTCTCTACGTTGTCCATAAACGTTGGATTGAGGAGGAATGCGAGCCACGGTGGCGTAGCCTAATGCAACATTTTCATCGTCGCCACTTTGCAAGTTACGTTCATCTTTAATCCTACAATCATTCTAAAACGTAACGTCACGTTTCTTTTCGCGCGTAACGTTTTAATATGCATTTATTAAAAACGTTCTTTTCTCGTCGCTTTATATCATTCTTCTAACGCGTTAATCGCAGTATCCTAAACGAACTAACCTACCTTCAACGGGTTACAACGAACAACTTCGAATCTACGTTCGCTAAGTCTAATTTTCTATTACGAACTCTAGTCTCGTGCGATATGATCAGGAATAGTCCTAAAATAAAATAGATTTGCATAATAGAGGCTAAATTAAGTAATCGGGATCCTTTTCCGAATGCATTATTCTTATCATATAAATATAGTATTTCGCATGGGCTAGTTTTGTTGAAAACGGAGAAACAATCTCGAAGAGGCCAAATCACTTTTGGACTAATGCACTCAAGGTCTCACGCATTTACCTTGCGCTCCTTGAAGGAGTACAGCGGCTAATCCAAGCGGACTGGCCGTGGGCTGCACTTGAGCATGACCCGTTGTCGGTGGACTCTGATTTACAATTTGTGCCGTTTGCGCTTGGCCCTGATTGGTAGTAGTGGGTTGTTTGTTGACGAGACTGCTCGTAGCGCTATCTATCAAGGAGAAAAGTGCTCCTCCTGGATTGCTCGGTGTAACACCACCGCTGGAACTCGATCCTTCGTTTGGAAGAGATCAAAAATAATATCTTTCAACAATTTCAGGATAGTCTTTATTCAAAGAAGAACGTGCCAAAGCTAGGGATAGAATTCGGACTTGACGATTGGAGTCCTTTCATCGATCTGGCGCGTCTCATGACCGCGTTTCGATCGCTATGCTGGCGCTGGGGGGGGGGCGGGGCGGTGGAAGGACAGGATGCTGCAAAACATTGCAACCGATAACGTTTGGTTAGTCAACCACGCCATTTGTTTGTGTGTTAGACGTCAAACGCCGACGACATTTTCTTGAAGCTTACGACCTTGCAAACGAACAGAGAGAAAAAGCGTTCCTGAAATAGATCGTAAATTGGGTATCCGTCTACCTGGTGTACTCAGTAGTTCGTTCGGCTCGAAACTTGTGAGTTTCATTAAAACTACTCCTTTTGGGGAGAATTTTCTAATGGGTAGAAAGTTGGTCGCAAAATTTTCTTCCTCGAAAGGAAAGTCCTTTTGAAGCGTACGATTCGATCACGGATGAGATTTGTTTTATTTTTCTTTCAAAAAGAATAAATAACTTTTCTGCCATCGCACATATGTACCTACGTATGTATGTATGTATATATACATATATACACAATGGACTTAGGTATTAAGGTACTCTCCAACAAATTGAAACGTCACTCGAAGTAAACAGAAGATTCGAACGAAAGTAGAACTACGCGAGGTTGCGAGCTAGTCAAAGATTTATCTGTCCGTTTGTCAAAACGATCGATCGGTCGGATAAAAATCGATCGTCCCTCTTAGCTCCTGGATTGAAGGATTCAAGAAGAAAAACACCCACCGTGATTGTAGTCGTTGCTGTTCGATTGTACTTTCGACGAGCTTGCGGTGGCACCGATCGTAGACATTTCCGATTATCTTCCTCGAAGGTACATCTCGAAGAAGAACTCGATTCGAGATTGATTCGATGATCGATTTGAGAAATACTAGAAAACTATTCGCGATTAATTCAACTATTACTATTCTACTGACCGATGATGAAAAAGGTGGAACGATTTTTCTATACACCCGCGTACTTTTTGAAATGATTAAGGCATAAATTAATATGCCAGTTAAATGCGAGTTACTCTATCGAACGAACTCTGCGGACTACTTCGGATCTATTTTGAAGATCTAATGCCAAGAGGACGCGCGCGGAGACAGGTCTGTCCATTGATGCGATGCGAACCCCGTGCATTATATACATTTTCTTTTACATTGTTTCCCTAAATGTTGTTCACAAACATTTTCTATATCATTTTCTTATTTTTATATGATATATCAAAATCATAACCTTCGACCTATCGACCATTTACTAATACTCAATTTCTTCTTTTTGTAATTACTTCTTTCCCTTCGTATAGCGCGCGGAGTCAAATTCGAGTGTTCGTTAGTTCGCACGAAAAGACACACGGACACATATACATATATTTATTTAAAAGTTTATCGTGCAACAAAGAACAAAAAAAAAAAGAGAAAATCGCGAATACGATTAAAAGTAATCATCAGTCGAGCGAGCATGAACGATTAGTTCGCTTCCTTGGAGGGAGCTTGTAAGAGAAAAATAGAGATGGAACGAACACAAATTAGAGAGAGAGAGAGAGAGAGAGAGAGAGAAAGTGGGGGGTGGTTGGGGTGGGGTTTGGAAAGACGGCCGATCCACCGTACGATTTAGCGGATAAGCTGGAACAAACAGGGCGCAACAAAAGCTCGATTTCGAAGCTCGACAAGAACTTTTTTTCTATATACCTATATATACATACATATATGTGTATTCATATACATATATAGATATAGATATAAATTTAGGGGAAAAAAAATAGAAGAGGAAAAAAAATAACATTCGCCTCTCGGAAACGGACAAATTTTTGTTCGATATCAACGACCCTCGTCATCCCTTCGAACGAAAGTAACTTTTTTTCCGATCATTTTCCTTCTTTTTTTCCTTTTTTTAACAAATGAGTGTGTGTGTGTGTGTGTGAGAGAGAGAGAGAGAGAGAGAGAGAGAGAGAGAGAGAGAGAGAGAGAGAGAGAGGGATGGATATTAACATGTCTGAAAAAATGATTTCCACTGGCACGCTGAAACACTTTTATTATTAATATTATTTCTCTTTTTTTTTCTTTACCCCTACGCATACGCATATATTATTATATATAAGTATAAAATGTATATGTGTGCAATATTGAGGTGCGATTTTTCGTTTTAGTGTGCCAACGTGCCAAAAAGAAAGAAAGAAAGAAAGAAAGAAAAAAAGAATGAGAAATATAATAATCGTAATCGTGGTAGATTATTTACACGCGTGTACGCGACGATATCACTCGGGGATAACACGCATGTGTTACACACGTAAATAATTATTTTGATATATGAAATATATGTATACATATATGCGTTCGAAGATGATATTTAATTATATAGAAAAATGATATGTCCAATTATTTTCGACAAAAATGAAAATATGCATTTTAAATGTACGACAAATAAATATGTATACACAGAAGAAAGACTTTGAAACGTTGCATAATGTTTCTTAGCCTTTCTTTGATTTTTTTGTTCGTTTAGTTAATTAATGTTTTTTTTTTTTAATTAGGTTACCTTCGGGTTCTTTGGCAATGACCGTGCTGCTCCGGTCGACGCCGCCCTTCTTATCCTCTGTACAACATACACACATACATACATCACCTAAATACGAATATGTGATAAGATACAATTACCTAATGCATGTTCTTTTTTTTTTTTTTCTTTTTAATATTTTTGTTTTCTTTTTTCTCTCCTTTCTTTCATACCTTATTTTTTAATATATTACTTGACACTTATATATAGACACATATGTACACGTACCATTGCATACATGTATTTATTTTCTTTGTATATACATATGCCAGTATATACTTATATTACAGATTTTTGTTTTTATTTGGTTGCAACGATATCATTCATTTATATGGATACGAAAATCTTAAACGAATGTAAAGAAGACAAATTGTTAATCGTAATTTTAAACTAACGTAATAGAATTTGATCATTTTGAAAATGAATTTTTGTCCAGTGAAACCAATCGATCATCATGCTTTTAGCGACACCGATAACAAATGATAACAAATATATACTACGCCGAGGGACAAGACTCTTTCTATTTCATTGGAACCGTTTTTATATCTTTTGGATTTTTTTATTCTTTTTCTAATAAGTATGTCAGACAAAAATGCAACACAATTTATGCGAATGTTCGTACGTATGTAAAATATTTACAAAGCGAACGTTTAATACAGCTTCATAATTTTTCTTACTATTTTTTTTTACCCGGCAATTATTTCTTTTTTTTAATTAACATCTACGAAAATTTGTATTTAAATGCGCACGAAATTATGACCCTGGACTAAGTTAACAAAAGTAGGAAAAATTGATCGTGTGTGTGATTTATTTTATATAACAATTATTCATATTATAAAATATATCACAAAATGAATGTTTCATATATTTTGATTTTACATTAGTCCACTGTCGTAATTACCAATACAAATATATTTTTGTATTGATTTGGTCGTTGCCAAAAAGTATGGGCTTTGATGCGAAAAAGGGAGATTATATTAATTGATGGACCAATTGGAAGAGACGATTTGAGATTTATTATATGAATATAAAATCAAAAAATAGATGTGTATATATATATATATTTTTTTATATATATATATATATATATAAAAAAAAGAAAAAAAAAAAGAAAAAGGTAAAATAAAAATAAAAATCACACGGGAGAAAGTGCCGGAATGGTGCAGCGCACTTTTAGCGATCGTGCGTATCTTTCTCGATGCGTCATGAATAGATCATGACTCGAGCAGTGGTGATAAAAAAAAAAAGAAGTAGCAGGGGGAAGGGGGTGAGGTGTGAAGTTGAAGAAAAAAAAACGTGCAAGACTTTCCCATTCCTAAATTCAAAATTTGTGATAATCGATGATAAGAAAAATAAGGGTGAATTCGAACAACGTGTCAATTAATAAAGAACGAATGACCTCGATCATATATTTTTCTTCTAACAATTATTCAATAGATCAATCAGCAAGAAAATTCATCAGGATATTAGTTTCTCGTTGTACAATTTATTATAAAATTCGTTCCTTATTTTATTACTATAGTCAAAATAATTAATAATAATTTTCAACTTCCAATCGGTACCAAACGTACAGATACATTTACATACATGTGTACATACGCATTGACCAACTTTTTCGTAACGTACAACAAAAGATAATAGGAATAAAACGTTTTTGTTATTCACAATGCAGAAGATTTCTGAATGGCCGTTTAAATCATTGGCAAGTAAAGTAAGTTTATAAGCATCAATGTGTATGTATATCTGCGTTAGCCATTTGTAACGCTTATATATGTAAATGCAATACATAGAAGGTAGAGTAAATACATAGGCACGGCTCATTGGCAAGATGTATAATAACTAATAACCATAGTACAAGACATATCCTTTCGACATGGACAATTTAAAAGTAGACGTGCAAGAACCGAACAAAGCATCATGCATCGTATCAATCGTCATAAGTAAGCGAAATGGACGACAAACGGGGACGATTGAAAGCGCAACAGCAGCTTGAGATAAATGTGGTAATACGATTTACGAAACGGAAACAAAAATAACGCCTAGTAAAAAATATATATATATATATATATATATATATACATGTATATATATTTTGTTGATAATAAAATTTAAAAAAAGATTTCCAAAGAGATGCAGTCAAGAGGAGAGATATACGGATTTGATTGTTGTTGAATCGATCATTCCGTGTGATTGGTGCCAGGTTTTCATAAATCCATAACACCGAATTGAAAATCGAATATGTAATAAAAACGTAGGCAAATATAATGCGAGAGAGAGAGAGAGAGAGAGAGAGAGAGAGAGAGAGAGAGAGAAAGAGAGAGAGAGAGAAATAGATAGAAATAAAAGAGAGTGGGCGTGAAATAGAATCGTGTATGATGTGTAAATTGATGCTAGGAATAGAAAGAGATATATATAGAGAGAGGGGAGTTTTCTTTTATTATTAAATTTATTATTAAATATAGTATGAAAAAGTGTACGTGTGAAATTCGTAAGGAATTTGACGTCATTGATTTGTGCAATGACTAAAAAGTGCAACGACCAAGATTTTTGTTACAAGATTTAATTTAAAGGCTTAGGTAGGGAAAAAAACGATGAAAAAAGAAATAGAAAGACAGACACACACAGAGACAGACATATCCGGAAATATAATAATAATAATTATTTGGAAAAAGAAGAGAATATTATATCGAGTGTGCAGAATGGGAGAGAACAAAAATTATATATATATACATATTGAAGAAAAAAAAAAGAAACCAAAATATTAAATTGATATGAGATGCGTGAGTCGATATCTTGGCTACCGACGAACATCTAACGCTATATACACACCTAATTTGCGTACATACCTAAAGTAAGTACGTAATACGTCTAATCGTCGAATCTAACATCGGCAAACGACGAAAAAACATTTATCTATGTATATATAGCTATATATAGCTACGATGCATTCACCGTTTAGTAGCAACAAATTCGAAATGATCAAACTAAAGTTGCGATCTATCGACATAATATTATACCGTTCGATCGTACAGTTTGTTTTGGTTTGTAATTACAAACTCGCGTGTAATTTTTCTATCTATGCGGACATACACGCGAAAGCAAACGAGAAAGCTGCTACTTTAATATATTAGGTACTTAAAGTATACTAACGTTGCTATCTAGAGACACAATAATTAATCGTCGTTTGCGAATTTAGCTTTAAGGAAAAGCTTCTATACGCATGTATCTATTTCGCGATATTTTTTCTTTTTCTTTTACTCGTTTGAGAAAAGTTCATCGCGATATTATCGTTTAAGTATCTACCTATAGTTTATTTTTCTTTTCTACTGAAATCTATAAATCTAATCTCGCTAAGTTTTCTCACCAAGGCAGCTAACGCACCTAAGAAGAGAGATAAATGTTCGATAAAAAGGAATGAATTTGATTTATTAACTGATAGTGGTGGTAGTTTTCTCGTAGAATGAATTATTCGCGGGCTCGTACATTCTATTTTTACTTTTAACTGAAAAATTTGCCGAATAGATTTTCATGGCGCTATTGTAGATCGATAAACTTATTACGAGCGTGCTAATTGGATCTCATCGTCGCAATAATGAAATATTTATCATCTATATATACATTTATGTATATATATATATATACATGTATGTATGTATACGCGTTATATGGATCGGAACGATTCGCGAATTTCAAAAATGTTTCACTTTTCAACAGCGATCCCCCATTTAACGATTTTTTTTTTTACTTGCTATTGCAATTATGAAACAATAAAAAGAAAAAAAGAAATAAAGTGATTTCATTCTTTAAAACGTATCCGAATAATCGAGCATAATGAATATATTTGATATTAAATGTACTCATTAATTAAATATAATATTAAAACAATTATTAATTAATATTACAAAAAAAAAAGAATTCTCATACTTTTACGTGTTTCAGATTTGTGAGAATACTATTATTACTTTTTGATATTTTTCACGATATATCTATATGTGCAGTAGATCAAAATTCATGATTTTTTTGTTTTTTTTTTGAAAACGGATATCGTCCTCCTCGACATATATCGTATATGCAAATTATATTATATAATATATATAAATAAATCTCTCTGGCTTTGAAAAGGCGCCCTTAAACTAACTACTGGTTACGTTATTTAATAGCATTTGCAATAAATATTTAACTAATGAAAAAACATCGGCCAAACTTTTGATTTTCGCCAAGTTACTTTGCTTTCGATGTAATTGTTTTACTCACGGTTCGCATTCTCGATCCACTGTATCAGTGCTGCAAAATTCCCACGAATTTTACAACACACGGAAATATAAATATATCTTTATGCAAGCCAGACATCGCTATCATATTCGATAACATATGTTAATGAGAAGAACAGAAAAAAAAACAAAGAAAGATAGATCGATAAAAACTTGTTTCTTTTTTTAATTATTATTATTATTTATTTTTTTTTTCTTTTTCATATCTTTCTAATTGATTATTTTCCCTGAGAAAATCCAGACGGGCTTGTCGAAGTTTTTCGAGAGAAAATAAAATTAATATCTACGTACGTACGTAAGAAAAAAAAGATAACAAAAAATAGAGGAATAATAAGTAAGGAAAAAAAAGAGGATTTCGTTTATGAAAATTAATAGATCACTTTTGTTTCACTCCTTTACGTGTTATGGATTTGTGAGCATACTATAATTCTATCTTTTATACCTTATTACGATTTATGCATATGTGTGGTAATCAAAATTCACGGGGTTTTTTTCTTCTTTCTTTTCTGATGGGATCATTGTACTCGGAAAAGAATATCGTTCTCTTCGACACCGATAAATTATTCGTCGGAGAAGGATAGTGTAAAAGGGATTTCAAAGTGAAGTGTGTGAACGCGTAATGGTGCAGTGCCTGGCGCTTAGAAGCAAATGAAATTCATTTGGCATACTGTGTAAAGGATCAAGGAAAAATGCCTTGGGAATGCATGCACGCAAAAGGATTTTTCGTTATTCGCGTTGTCAAATTTATTTTCTCCTTCGACTACTACGTGTAATATAATATAATATATATGTATATATTGAAAGGAAAATAGAGATAGATAGATAGAGATAGAGATAGAGAGAGAAAGAGAAAGAGAAGAGATCAGGAAATTGAATTAAACGAAATACATGAAGAAAAAAGAAAAGAAAAGAAAAGAAAATAAACTGAGAAGAAAAGAAGTATACTACGTAACACGATGATGATTTTGCGTGCTTGTGAAAATTTGTCGATATAAATGGATAGACAACGAATGGCGAAATTGATCGAACGGAGATTGTTGTCTCGTTATCATAGTCATTATGAGTCAGTTAGGATGAAAAAATACGAGTCCTGCACTATACAATCAATGTTTCTTCATTAATTTATGTATATTTTTTGATCCTTTTTTTTTTTTTGATAAGGTACCCATTTTCAATTCGATCGAATTTCTCTATCTATCGCGAAGATAATGATTATTGATAAGTATAATAAACCTTGCCGTTAAGCGGGTGTCTGCCACACAAAATGCCTACCAGCGCTCACGAATTCAAAACAACTTTCCAACATGTAAGTAAATGGTGTCAAAGAACGTGTAACACGACGATCAATAGCGAGCGATCGAGAGGAGCAAGTTTGAGAATGCACGATGCTTTCAAGAACATTTTTGAGAGTCATGAAGTATTTCAAAGGGGCGAACAAATTTGGAGAAGGAGATAGGAATAGGATATAAGATCGAATAAGAAAGAGAAAGAGAGAGAGAGAGAAAGAGAGAGATAGCACAAAAAATACATATACATATATCTGTACGCATATACTAGGTATGACATTTTAAAACGAGTTACCTGAATAACTCACATTGCTATCGGTGTCGGAATAAAAATATTTCCGACGAAATTTACTTGATTTCGAGAATGCCATAATTTCATGTTATATGTACGCGTAAAGTATTACAGTTCCTATATTACGAGTTACGTATTTATCGTTTGTATTTTTTTGTTATATAAAAAATATTTTTTATGAAACCAAATAAGTTTTGTCCTACATATTTGTTCCTTCCTATCACCAATAGCGATCGAGATATTTGGATGGTATTTCGTTTTAAGTAAGTTTTATACGTACAATATTTTGAATTTTATTTCTATAGATACACTTTATATATGTGTATGTATAGAAAAAACTATATATGTAATTATATAGCAATTTAGAGATTAGAAGAGGGAATAAGGAATTGTATGTGTATGTGTTAAATAGATTGAAGTTTATATATCAAGGAAAAGAGTGTTCTGAAACGGAGAACAAGGGAATGGGAATAGGGGAAAGAACAATCGATTACTCTACGATTAAATACTTTTGAGGGTAAAACAAAATAGATAACGTTCTCGATATATATATATCTGTATATACCTACACGTATGCGGATACGCACAAATTTTTAATTCGTGGTTCTCGTATACCGCAAAATTCAACGAAGAGATTCGTTAAGAAAATTTGAGGATAGGCCATCTCAAAGGAATTCTCTTCATTTTTGGTAAATAAATCTTACAGTAATATCGATTCAACAATGACGATACTATCTACCTTACAAAAGTATGCTTGTATGTATGTACAAAGTTTACAGAATTGATTATTTCATTTAAATTCGATTCTATGGATTTTGGGTGCATGCATGACTATCATTAGTATAATTAGAAAACATTTTTGTTAATACTATAGATAACCTATCCTCTGCATTGTTCAATTTACTTAATTAAATTCATTTATTTGATCGAAAAGAAAGATAGAAAGAGAACAGAAAGTTTAAATTTATTTGTCTAACAATCGTTTAAGTTCGCTTAACGAATCTCGAAAATATTTATATATACCTTTATTAGTAAAATTTGAACAATCGAGGAATTGGGATAGGGAAAACAATAAGGAAATTCATTAACGTGTTGCCATTCGACGAATCCAATAGGAAAAAATGGATTTTTCTTGTTTAATTAAAGATAGAACAAAAAAATAAATCCGAATGGCAATTCGTTAATTGAATTGAAATTAGAAATCGAGTTACCAATTTGCACGTGATAACCGAAGATCATGATCTGTTTCAGTAACGAATCAAAGTGCGTGCACGTGTCGCAGTACGTTCCATTTCTTTTCATTTGATTTACTTTTATATATTTTCTATTTTTATTTTCTTTTATCTAAAAAATGAAATAAAAATCCAGCACGTGTCGTAAGATTTTTACGGTCATATTTCTTTCGTGAATTCATAGCTTCTTCTTAAAAAAAGTAATTAAGAAAGAAAATTGAAAAAATTTTCATATTTGAGCGAGAAAATCCATCTTTCTCTTAAAAAATATGTAAAATATTTGTTATATATGAATGTATAAAAATATATAACAATAGACGATGACAAATCATATGTCATATCTATGTTCAATACGTATTTTATCGACAAAAAATGATGAATAAAAATATATATACACACATATATGTGCAAGTATGCATACAATAAATCATTGAAGTATTCATTGCCCCCCATTATAAACTTTAAATAATAGATATTTACTTGTAACTGCAATATTAAAATTTAATCAAAATATAATGATTATATTTGTAAGTATTACTTGATGTATCCTCCTTTGCATCTTGATGAATTAAGGAATTAGAAAAATATTAGATTACAAGCAAATATTAATCATTTAATTGACAATGGGGATATAGAAATATTCTTGTGACTGAATGTATGCATATATTTTGGAGTTTCTCCTCTTCGTGCACTCGCAACATTTGTTTTTGGATAGAAAAAAACGGTTTGATAAAATAGTTCGATTAAAAAAAAAAAAAAAAAAGGAAAAGAAAAACGAAGATAAATGAATCGAACACAGGCGACGCAGACATTCGTTCAATATTAACTCGATACCAATATATTTGTATTTTGATCGAGAGAGCACAAAGATGGAAAAACGAGTCTCTTACCTTTGACATCGTCATCCTCGATCGTTGTGCTGCTGTCGGTGGATTCCTTCACCTGAGAACCATCGCCCTTCTTTGTGATGATACTTCGACCTGGAGTGCGCAGAGGGTTTTTCAGTAAATCGATATTGGAAGCGTGTAATAGTAGAAGTAATAGTAGTAGTAGTAGTAGTAGTAGTAGTAGTAGTAAATAGTACGAGTATCTTAAGAAATTCTTTTTATGTTAGATATAGATAGATATATATTATTTTTAAGAGACAACAAACGAAAGAAGAATAGATAGATAGATAGATAGATAAATAGTGTAAGAGCGGGAGAGAGAGAGAGAGAGAGAGAGAGAGAGAGAGAGAGAGAGAGAGAGAGAGAGAGAGAGAGAGAGAAAACATTGGAGAAAAATAGCGAACACAAATTCAGAACATTAAAAATTGGAAAAAAGCTTTTTTTTCTTTAATTTTACCACAAATTTATCCCAATTGTTGTCTGCGAGCATAGACAATGATTTGACGTGAAAACAAAAAAGAGCAGAAATAAAATCTTCAATCAGAATGAAGATTTTATGAAATTTTTCGTTTGTTAGGTTTACTCTCTCTCTCGTTGAAAGCGATTAAAAAAAAAAAGTATTTCTAATTTTTGTAGAAAGACTGTAATTATTGTACCAGCTATAATAGGGGTTTAGAAAAATAGAGAAGGGAGTTTCCAGAAAGCTAATTTCAAGAAGGAAGGAAATGACGTAGAAATAGGATACAAGAGAGAAAAATATACAAAGATTACAGAATAAACGGAAGTGAAAAGAAACAAACGTGCACAATCATCTAGATATTATATTGAAATCATGCAATTGTATTTTTTTTGTCTTAAGCTTTCAAGATCATCACTTGTTCACGATTCCAACGTCATATCTCTTTTTTTGTTTACTTGGCATAAGTAAAAATACTTGTTGTTTTTTCTTCTCTTATTTTTACGGAAGTAAAATTCACTCGAAAGCTCACAGATATTAATAAATATATTATTGTAATTAGAAAATAATAAAGTATGCAAATAACACGCGTGCACTAACCGTTATCATAAATTAAAATTAAATTTATGCGGAACCACGTGCAAGTTATAGAACGGATATATTTATTCACTTAGTTTATTTTAGTTGGAAAAGTGATATGCTCAAATAATATAATAATAACCTAATAAAAAGCTCGAAGTAAAAAGAAAAGTAAAACTTGAAATATTTAATTTTGAAAACTATTTAAATAATTTAAAATAAGAAAGGAAATTAGCAAAGTAAAACAAAAATTGATAAAAAAGAAACGAAGCAAGATTATCAATAAGTATTATAGATGCAAAATAAAGAAAATGGAACAATTGACATGCCAAATGCAATTCAGAGACTATTTATTACCAACATTCGTTTCGAGTCCTGCGATTTCTGAGAATTAAGATTTTCTTTACGATTCAATGAAGATATTGAAAATTATGTAACAACCAAGTTATTCTCAATTAGTAGTTAGGTAAGTATACATTTATTTTTAGAGATAACGAGAAGAATTATAATTCTATTTATTACATCGTATATTTGGACTGAATTATAAATAAGCATTTCGTTCAATAAATGATCATTTTATGTACATGAATAATGAAGTATCAAAAAATGGTACGTTTTTTAGTAGAATATTATTAATTAATATTAATGTTATTGTATGCTGATCATTCATTTTAAATTGTATTTCCAAATATTTGTACTAATTTATCACGTATCATTTATATTACATGCCGATGTTATAAAATAATGACCATTATTTAACTAATAAATTTACATAATTTGCATAAATATTAGAAAAAATAGGATGAAATTGCAGAAACTCGATAGAATGGATTTATTAATTTTTATAAGCGAAGATATATAAAAAGAAGGAAATTGAAAGAAAGTTAATAAAGAAGTAAGTAAGAAAGAAATAAATAAAGTAAGAAAGAAAATACAGCTTGTCGAAAAACTGTTTCGTAATGTATCGTCACGTAGTCGTAAAATTGTTCAATTTTTCAAATATAACTCTTGCTATTTTTTTTAAGATAAAGAAAAGAGACAACGCACGTTGATAAAGTTAAATAAGAACTTTCGATCGTGTGTTAGTGAATAAGCACAGCACCTCCGACCCGCTTCGTGTCAAATGAAAAATAGAGTACACCTTTTGTCAAAAAATAAACAGAAAAATAGATTTTAACACAAAATGATTCAATGAGAAAATTAATGGCAGAACGGATTTGTTTGTTTTTTTATTATTACATGATTTGCGATAAATGTATGATTTGCCCGTGTACGTTCTCCTTGATTTTTACGTATTGATTATGCAGAAAAAAAACATTGAAATAACTTCTTTTGAAATAATCTATCCGAATCTATTCGTTCTCATGTTTAACTCCGCTGACAATATTTTCTTGAACTTCTCTAGTTTCAAATGATTCATAATTATATATAAATTTAAACTATATTAGATTGTATTTTTTATTTTAATCGAAGTTTGATTGTTGGGGCTTCGCTATTTTACTTCTCCTTTTGAATTACAAGAAAAATAAAAGAAAAGGAGATAAAGAGGATGGATAGTTTGAAACTAAAAAAAATATAACAAATGGATAAGAGTAGAAAAGTAGATCAAGAATAAAATTAAACCATTTTTGTTACATTAATTGCAAATCTCTACGACAATAATAGACCTAAAACTTGAACGATATTCTGTTTTTTCGTTACGCGTGTGGGTATTAATTTTATTCGGATAAGCATTACCTTCGAAATATCTTAGGTCAATGAAAAGTTAACCTAAAATGTTAGATACCTGTATATTTTATAGATAGAAGATTTGTATTTATGCATTTATGTATAATACATTTAACGTTATAATAAAAATAATCTACTCACGATTAATATTTGGAATATCCATGGATGAAAAAATAATGTAAAACACACATTCGCGACTAATTATTTGTTCGAGTTAATATGTATTTTAGTATGTCGTACTATAATTAAAAGACGAAATATAAATCAAGTTGGTGATACTAGTAGTGTGTGGTAGTTCCTGGTAGTGGATTAAAGTCACGAGAGTTGCAATATTAATACGCGCGAAAAACAACTCGAAGATTTTACTTTTTGGTGCTGCCATCTAGCTTACAAATATGCAAATAAACGCGCGTCTTCGATATCAAACAACTTTTTCTAAATGTTTTTATTCAACATTCATATATAAGAACTGATTTTTATATTTTATTATATTATTTTTATAAGAAAAAAAAGAACAAATTAATTTCATTTCATTGTTTTTAGCTATTACAAAAGTTCCGAATGAAATATTCATATTGCATATATAATTTTGAAATAGAAAGTGAAATTTTATTTGGGAGAACGTACAAGAGGATCAATTAATTAGGAAATGTTGGATAAAACAGCGAGAGAGAGAGAATAATGAGTGAAATATATATAGAAAGAGAGATTCTTTTAGTCGATCGATCGATAATCGTTTGTTAAAGAATTGCCGTATATTACTAATCTTTTTCCAAAGAAAAAAGAACACGTTAACGATTAATTAAGAACTATGCATATATACGTGAAATTGCAATCCAATATAGATTGATCGACGAATTATTAAATGTATATGTTTCATTAATGAAATATGAATATGCTGTGCAATAGTATGTCTTCCATTTAATATTGTCATTATTATAACAATAATTCAACTCATTAGATTTAACGACTTTTCCAAATAGGTATCAGTAGGAGTTCAATGAATATATTATCAATAAAATCTTTACCAAAAAAAAATTTCGAAATCATCGATAGATTCATAATGTGTTTTGGATTTGATAATACTTAGAGAATAATTCTAATCAAAAAATTAGTCAATGTGTTAGGCAAAGTGTACTTCAAATAATTGAATTAAATGATAAAGGATATACACAAACTAACAGATTATGATTAATGAAAATTTATACGTACAAAGTACGTATAAGTTCATTGATCCCTCTAAGAGTGTGCAAGATGCTTCAACTATTCGACTAATTGTAAGAAAAAAATTGGGGTATTAAGAGTGGTGGTAGGTTGTAGGGGTAAGTGGTGGGGTGAGATCAAAGGGAGACATTCTAAGTAGACGTCTGATGCTATTTATGTGTCACACGCAAAAATGTGCGTTGGTCGGTCAGTGGCGTAACCTCAAACAAATTTTATATTTCTTTCCTTTTGGATAATTTAACATTTTTTTTTATTTTAGCTAACTAAGAAAAGTTTGATAGAAATGGTCGTTGGTAGAATGGTTAAGCCACTGATGTGTATTCGTGTAATTATGTATGTGTTCTGTATTAATATATATATATGTACATACGTTAAAACGTGAAATCCATTAATCTATAAAATATCCAAAGTGACCAGTTGAACCACCATGAAATTGAAATTGATGTCAAGTATAAAAAAAATATTTTTCGATTTGTTTATAACACTATATATACTCGCGCACATATGCATATCACTTGCATAGGAAGAAAACACACAACACACACGCGTATACGCGACGCGAAAAAAAAATGAGATATTTATCTAATATAGATGTTAGACCTTCGGAAGCTCGAACAAGACTAACAATAAATACGAACAACTATGAAATATACCCGAAGATCAATACGTTACGAGTGCGGCGACGAAATTTGCTATAGAATAAAAACAATTACAATAGAATATAAACACCGAGAGAGAACGAAAAGCTGTTCCTTTTCATGAATTTAACTTCTACACATCTCCTCTCTTCTCAATCGTTGTTCTTCTCGGATTCAGACAAGACGTGTTAGACGTGTTCCTGCATTAGGTATTCTACATTTTTTTACTCGTTTACATTGCATACGATGTTTTAGATCCTCCTTTTCAACGATGCTCTTCTAATTAATAATATTTCAATAATTATTCACGTTAAATGTATTTCCTCATATACGATGCTCATATATGTAGATATTTACGTATCACTTTTCAGGAGTACACACACTCGCGTACATATGCATATCACTTGCATAGGAAGAAATCACACACACACACACACACACACACGTATACGCGACGCCAAATTAATTTGATACTTATCTAATATCGTTGTTTTTATGCTCGACATCAAGTTTCAATTTCATGGTTTATATAATCGATTTTTGTAAATGCATGTGAAATGACTAGTATATAATTAAATTATTGAAATTCACGTTTTAATAGTAACATATATATACACACAGAAAAATGTATGTATGCACTTCCTCGTGCATCTATCGAGGGATGCTTACGAGCACGCGTGCGCATATGCTACAGTCGGATAGACGTATATATGCAGGTATATATTATACACGTATTATATGTATGTTTTATACATGCATATAATATATAGTAATTTTTGTATATAATATACAATTATAAATCGTATATAAAAATCAGGTAGAACAATATTATTTCCACATTTAGAATTATAATTAATACGAATTAAATAATACAAGTAAAATGAAGAATGAGAAATAAATGAAAGAAATAAAAATGGTTGATTTAAATTAGGAATTATTCATGTGCTTTCCAAATTTATATATTTGAGATTTTGATTCTAATTAATTGAATGAAAGGAAATAAGTAATATTTGAAGTTTAATCGCTAATGGTATTATCTTTATTTAAAAATATAAAATTCGAAATGTGGATTAAAACGATGATGAGAAAAAAATGTACATATCAGAGGTTGGAAATATTGAAATCTTGTTAATATTACGGATAAAACACTTATATGCAACGCGAATAATTATTGCAATACAACATAGCACAATCATTCGGAGGCACTCTCGCAAGTGGACCGAAACAGTTGAGAGATTTTATGTTTCGATCCTAAAACTTATTATTTTTCTATTACATATTCAAATTTGTCTACTTTGTCTACCAATAAGACAGAATACGTTCGTATTATTTATATGTGTATGAAGTATAAGTTAGAATAAAACTATTTAAATTTAGATTTATTGTAACCAATGACGCGTATTTTTCGAACAATGATTGGAAGAAATACATGAAAGATACTTAGAAAGACTTCATCGATCATAAGAAAAGTATTTTCAAAATGACTATAATTTATCGTCAATCAAATCGATTGAGCATTCATTTTTTTATCATTTGCAATTAATAACCCGTGACTAATGTTTGAAAATCCTTTAGAAGAGTATTTTAATTTGATGTATCCTCGCATTACTGCACTCTCGGTTGTGTATACAAAATGGACATTGACGTTAAACGTCGATGCTTGCTTTGTCGAAAACGATGCGGATATGTAACTGAAAATGATTCATCGACAATTTTCTACTATTATATTTACTCATGTAATCGTTTGTTATTGAAGATATGTAGGAATGCATATATGCGTATCCAATTAAAACGAATGGATGAAACAAAAGTTTTCATTCTTTTTCCAATGGATTATTCCTAACGAAATTTTCAAAATTTCGAAGCATGACTCGTTTGGTGATTAGGGTCAAGTTAAAGATGACATGGACGAGAAGAAAACTGCTTGAGTCCACTGCGACGATGATTTTCGTTACCCAGAATCATGGATTATTATAATAAAATAAAATAAAAAAAAGACATGAAAAAAATAATAAAGAAAATGTCAATAATTACGTATCATTCGAATGAATTACGAAGCAAGAAAAATATTCGCTTGTTTGATTATTTTTTCTGGGTAACGTTGAACGGTCCTTGCAGGATATATGAAGTGCGAGCTGAGTGCATCGACTATGAGGATAATACGAGCACTTCGTGGATGGAACATCTCAAAAATGTTTCAATTGTGCTACGTTGAGAGAGCAAGCGAGGGAGCGAGCGAGGATGAAATTATGATGATTCGTTAGCGAATGAAATGAGAAGGAGAGCGAGAGAGAGAGAGAGAGAGAGAGAGAGAGAGAGAGAGAGAGAGAAAGAGAAAATGTACTTTTCAGCTTGGCCTTGAAACGATCATTTTCAGCAGCTTTTTCTCCTCGAGAACGTTTCAGCCTCGCTCCTCTTTAATTTTGGGATCATAGGAAAAGAAAATGTTATTTGCTCGATCGTCTCGACAGAGATAGGCTTTTTCAGATTTACAATTAGTTTTGTGCATGAGCAAGAATTTTGGGGGCTAATGGAATAATACATGGAAAAAAAAAGAAAGAAATACGGATGCTCTATATCGTTTGATCGTCCACAAGTGGTTCATAAGGTAGGAATCTAATTTTCTAATGAAAGTTTAGATACCATACGATTGGTAATATAGAAAATAATGATGCATTAGAGAGACCACGTTGTACGAAGCACCGATCAAACTGAGCGAATAAACAAATGATGAGCAGAATTATTTTTAATGATGGGGATGCAAGACGGATGTATGAACGAAGGGACGTGAAATGTTTGGAATAAAGATATAGTGATAGATAGATAGATAGATAGATAGAGAGATAGATGGAGGGTGGGTATGTAAAGTTTAATAGGAGCTTGTAAATGTACTGTCCGTCGTAGTCCATGAAGCGCTGAAGAGGGCCGGAGGTACTTACCCTGTGGATCATACTTACTGGAAAAGTTCCGTGTCGCCAACATCGTCGTCAAAATAGCGCCCTGAATAAAAAAGAAAGCAAATCGAGCGATTAATCGAAATAATCATTACTTTTACAGACGCGTTAATGGATTAGAAAATTCTAAGTATGCGATTATCGAAAGGATTCATTCAATGAACTGTCACTTCAACAGATATTCTTACTTTTTTTTCCTCATCGTGGATTCGATGATTTTTCAATGAAAAAAGAACTGCTTACCTTTAATTTGCGTCTTGCATTAAATTTCTTCAAGCAATCCACAGTCTCTTGCCTGTGCACAACCGATGCAACACGCTCACGTTGCTGTAATAAGAAAACAAAATAGCACGTTATCTTAGAAAATGATTATAATCATTGATTCGTTTCATAGGGACGTGAAAACTTACGCAGATCCATGGATGCTTCAATGCCTCGTTTGCGGTGATTCTTTTGCTTGGATTCACCGTTAACATCTGATTGATAAGATTCTTTGCTTCTGGCGTTACGGTGTCCCATTCTGGGCTTGGATACTGAACAACAAATATTATATCATGAATCTATCATTAACCTTTTACCTGTTTCTACCAGATCAATGAAAATGTTGTATAAAACTGTGTTGCGGCATATATTTGTCTCATCTTTTCCAAAACATTTATGTGTTTTCCCAAATGGAGAAAATGGGGCGAGAGTATGTTACAACTCACAATCAGTAAATTTGTAATCTTGTAAAAAGGGGAAGAAAACATTAATCCAATTTTGTAGAAAATCTTTTCAAATGCAAAAGTAAATTTAAGTAAATTTGAGTTAATTTCGTTCCGGTGATCATTTTGATAATGAAATATAATAATAAAGTAGTTTTAAAAGGATTCTTACATCGTAAGAGCCAGCTTTTATTTGGGCGTACAGTCGATGCTGATCGTCGTCCCAAAATGGTGGGTAACCGACGAGAAGGATGTAAAGAATAACTCCGCATGCCCAAATGTCGACGGGTTTTCCGTAAGGTTCTTTCTTCAAAACCTCTGGACTGAGGTAGCCGGGCGTTCCAGCGAAACCTTTTTAGGGTCGACGTATGAAGATAGATAAAAGAAACATTTGTTCGACGATCGAAGAAGAAACAAACCCATTGGTTTAACTTTATGACTTACCATACCATGCTTGCGATTCACCGGACACCTCGATCGCCAATCCGAAATCTGCTAATTTAACAGCCGCACCTTTTGCTTTACTTGCGAGAAGTAAATTTTCTGGCTGCAAAAAATAATACCACAATCGTCGAAATTTATGACGAATTTGGAAGAAAAACCATCTCGTACAGTTTTCCTAAATTCGTGAAATTATTATTATTATTAACGCTAAACCTATCAACAGAAGAGTTATACTTTCCTAATTACATATTTCATTGAATATTAAATTATCACACGTTTAGAGCGTTGAGAAATATCTGACAAATTTTCACTTAGATAGAATTTCGAAGAATTGGGAATAGGAGTTGATACAGTCAGACCTCAGACACTTAGAAAAAATCAAAAGTGTAAGTAAATCCCAAGTTTGACTAGGATACGCTACCTCGAGAGCTTGACTATTTTATCAAAGTTGCTTTTCCAAGTAGTAGTTTCCTTTCTAAATATAGAATGAATATTCTATTGGAATGCAGAAAAGTGTATAACGTACTTTCAAGTCCCTGTGCACAACTCCGTTATGGTGGCAGTGGTGGACGCTTTCCAAGATTTGTTGGATGCAATGGGAAGCATCCGCCTCGCTGTAAAATTCTCGCGCAACGATGTCCTCGAAAAGCTCACCGCCGGTGACTCTGAAAAGAAATTACGAGAATTCTCTAGAAAGCTTCATTCAAAGAGAGGAACCAACGACGCGAATAAGATGATGCTCTTGCTATTTCCTTTTTCGAAATATATTTCTCAACGATCGTCTACTTTGGGGACGTCGTCGAACGTCAACAGTAAATACTGATGAAAAACATAACTAAAACACAAAGTACAAGAAAAGAGATAAAAGAAAGCCATAAGAACATTTCCCAAGCGTTTGGTTTACGTTGTTTCGATTGTGCTTTCAATTCGCAAATAACGTTCTTAATGGTATTGCTATTTGATTTATTTTTCTTTTTGTAAGTATGCATGATCAACGTAGATTACATAGATCATTTGACAAAATTACAAATCTAATTATAGGAAAGACAAAATATCGATATGAACTTTAGAATTAACTTACAAGTCGAAGACAAGATAATGATAGTTTTCCTCTTGTATGCTATCGTGCAGTCTCACTGAAACAGACAATTATTTCCAAAATTAACAACGACTATTTTTATTATACATTCGTATTTGTACTTATTCATTTAGCAAAATATTAATCGAATAAATGACAGTTCTTAATAAGACGGATAATATCGACGTAAGAGAGAGTTTCGCAATTCTCCGTCTTAATTATTGGGCTGAAAATGAAATATTAAGGTACGGGGCCGTGTTTGAGGCGGAAATTATGCGAGAGGAAATTCAAAATGACGATGCTCGAAGAGAGATTCGAGAATGAGACCTTGCGTGTAGATTAAATAAATAAATGCGCGTATATGTAGCCTAGATGGTTATCTAAAGCATTGAAAGTTGTTGCGAGCAAACGAGTATCATTATTTATAACTATGAATATTCCTTCATTAGGGTCAACGAAGGTAACCGAAGAAGCAACGAGAGATTCCTCAAGATTATCAGGCTCTTCAGTAAGTTCATTTAATCGATGTCAAGTGGATATTTCTTCCTCGACAAACAAATTAACGTAGGAGACAAACGACATCTTGTTTTCCAATACGAAATGATGTCTCATCGAGAGCAAACGCCATCGGCAAGGAAGAAAATGTCGTCTAGTTTTTCAATCAACAATTTCTTCTCATCATTGGCAAAAGAAAAAAAAGGAAAAGTTTTAAAGGAAGAAGCAAACAAGATGAGCAAAGAGATTTCATAAAAATGGTATAAGCATCGACGAACAAGAAGATCTTTTGATACTCGACGCGTTTGGCTCATCTTCAATTCCAGAATCGAAGGATCGATTTTGCTAGCAACGTTAGAAAGAATTCCAATTCGTAGTTTCTTTAATATCCTTGGCATCGAGACGTTCGACTTAAAACGTGAACGAAATAGCGAATATATTCCAGAGAGCAAAATAGAACTCCGGCTAGTCGAAAGTACTTTTTACTTTTTAAATGGAAAAGGTTAAAGAGGGTGGTACGTATATGAATATTATTGAAATATTTCGTCTCGTTTGTATTATCATTGCTGATCTCGAGGAAAGACAAATAATGCATAAGATATATAATCATTATTACGAAAAAGGTTGTGCGTTAGAAGGAGAAATTTTCTACACGTTTTCGTGGCGTTTCAAAGGAGGTTTACCACGTCTAACTCCCATATACATTCTCCATGAGACATTTATATTTCATAAATTTGATCAAATTAGATATGCCAGTTCGCTCTCATCCCCCTTGTAACACAATGTCTCAGAATAATCTCTTGAGACCTTTGCCTCGCCTTGACAAGAAAATCGTTAGTTAAAGGTATCGTAAATTAAAGAACCGTTCTTATTCCGCACGCTAGCTAGCTTAACTTATTGTTAGACAAGATAGAGATAGAACTAGATTTGTCTTATAACAATATCGATTTTTCGAATAGCTCGAAAATATTCATTTACCTCGAACGAAGAATATTTGGTTTCTTGGAAAGTTATAAATACGATATAACGAAATATCGAAATGTTTGCATTTGAATTTATCTCGAAAATCGAGATCGAACTTTTCAGTCAACTCGAATGTACAAAACAAATTTCGTAAAGCACATTACAACAAAATCAATATTCAACGTCAAATTTTTCTTTCGATTTTCAAATAAATACAAAAATAAAAGTCAAAAGATTTTGTTTTGATCGAGATATCGATATTTGCTATGCACCCTCTTCCTTTTTATTCTAAATTTCCTGACAGCTCGAGAAATATGATGGAGTAAGACGGAAACGTTACGTCAGGAAGAAAAACATGAGAAACGAAGTACTGAAAGAAAGAGAGAGAGAGAGAGAGAGAGAGAGAGAGAGAGAGAGAGACAATCAATGCGTATCACTTGTTGACTCGAAAACGAGTCCTACTGGCCTCGGAAAATAAAAAATATACAAATTTTTCTATCCTGTCACTACTAATTATGAGAGTGATCTAACGGAAAGCTCACATCTCTGACGCAACCCTGACGATCCGCGCTTTGAGACACTCCGTGATTGTGGATTAAGTAAAAATATGAATCTTTTCAATTTTCTAATTTATACCATTATCGTAATTATTGGCACATATATATGTGTAAATAAATCTAACTAAGTATAGCATGGTATACATATAACGAATACGTTGAATAATGTTAGAGGAAGTAATTTGAAGATTCGAAATGGACGTGGTAAACGGATACGATTGAGAAATGTTTAAAACGTCGTTCCTTTTCTCACAATCAGATTAAAATCGCTCGAGACAGAGTCGTATCATGAATAAATTCTATCAATAGATAGTAACTTTTTAAATCGATACTAGTTTATAAATAATGCAATTGGATCGATCGAAGATGGATGTATCGCATAGAATGGAAAGAAATATGTGAGGAGATTAAACAAACATAAAAAAATAAAATAATAATTTTTTCTTTCTAATCACGCTAATCGTTTAGTTTAGATTTTCTAAATCCCATAGGGTTTTTCTCGGGCAATAAGGATCAGGAACGAGATATCGATTGTATTTTTTTGTACCTTCGAGTGGACGTTAATAATAACGAAGATAAGAAATCGATTGGTCGAAGAGGGTGCTTATAGAACGCAGCGGTTCTCAATAATTCGAAATATCTTGATATCAGGCTCTCGTTAAAAATAATGCAAAATGTAAAACGCTACTCGTGAGTATTGGCTAACGAATTGGCCCCGGTTACTTCATATTTTTTCTAATCAAAATGTTTCTCTAAATGTTCGTAACATTTTCGACCTTTTTGCCAGAACGAAAGAAAGAAAAAAGAAAAAAGAAAAAATGTTGTTGTCTTTTCTGCGCCGCATTCGTCGAACCGAGCCAGAAATCAAACTCGGGAAGAAATCGATTGGCCCGTATCCAGATCGTACCCTCGCCACGACCGCCAATACCAGCCGGTTGAAAAGCTTCGCTGGTTCAAGGTTAGCCTTTTGATGTCGTTAAACTGCTTCTTTTTATTTTTATTTATTTACATTTAACCCTTTTACAAAAGGATTACCATATATACAAATTGAATAAGCTTGGACAACCCATATTCACAACTCATATTCACAAAGAATGAATTAACCGCGTTATGGTTGGGAATCGGAGATACAATTTGGAATTTTACACAATGTTTTTTCTTTAATAATATTTTTATTTAATGTAAAAGGGTTCGATTCCTGAAAACTTTGAAAACGAGACGGCTATATGTGCTCGCGACGTTCATTATTTTCTTTTTCCTTCTGTTTGTAAAAGCGATTAAATGGATGTATAAAAAAGAAGGAGGAAAAAGCAGAATAAAGGGAAGTTCTGGGTCTTTGTAAATTATTCGATACATGTCAGAATTGTTTCTAAAGAATACAAAAAAAAACAATAAAGTATAAAACATATAGAACATATTACCAATCCTCTGGATGGAGTGACAATTTTCAATGACAATTTTCAATGACAATTTTCGATGACAATTTTCAATGACAATTTTCTAGGGTGTCTTTTGATAAAACTCGACGGCTGTAACTGTTTTATCGAGGAAGAATGAAAGGGTCCGATACCTTTAGAATGCGAGAACAATGGAATCGATTGGCTTCCAGAGGGCAATGCGGTGCTTTTGCGCGTGAGGTAAATCGAGCGAGAAAGCTCGATTCGCGTTGGGGAAAGCAATTCCAATTGAAATGAAAAGGAGGATGACTCTTCTACAAAGAGACTAACAGTGGAACACGGTGTTCCTTCCTTCCTATTTGGGATCGTCTTGTATCGGATGAGGATTACTCGTTGGATTGGCTGATCAGATACTTGCGATACATACACCTATACCTTGACTTAGCACTTTGCTAATTAGCCTTAACGTTTGCTTAACTTTTGTTAATTGTTCGATACTCGAAACATGGAGACCTGTTATTTAATCTCCAAAACTCGACAGACGTTCGATCACTGTCCCGTTCAATTTTAATTAATCCTAACTTTTATTTCTTTAGGGAAACTTTAACAAATCTTTCATCGAATTCTATGGATCGAAGGTAAAAACTTTTCCAACGGAGAGTTTCAAACTTCGATCAAATTATTTTTCCTATTTGGTTCTACCTACTTGCTATAAGTATATATATATATAGGCATACATACGCTATAGGAACTAATGCATTTCAGATGATAAACTGCAAAGTATGCAATCTATAGACAATATCGAAAGAGTTAGTTTAGGATTAGATTGGGTGGAAAACCCAACGAGTTTCCTATGCTTGAATAAATCCCTAACTTATAGATAAAACGTGCTTACTTACTTACTTACTTACTTTCAAAACTAAACTTGACTTTGCGTCTCGATTTTATGCTCTCTAAACTATTATAAAAACTTCTTCTATAAACCGATCTATTAATTGTCGGTACTACTCCTAGACAATATTATTTTTTTATTCCCTGGAGCAAAAAGTAATTGTATTATAAAATATTTTGTATGACTTACCGATATTTGGATGCTGCAATTTCCTACATATTCGTGCCTCGCGTTCAAGTTTCTGGAAATCTGTAACAACATAAGAGAAAAATATATTTCAAAGTACCGGCTGTGAATTATAAAGATAAAGAGGATGGGAAGCAGGGACAAGTTCGTAGCTGGAAGCAATTATTTGAGAAACGAGGCAACAATCTAAGGTAGGTGAGGAAGTAGTAACGGTAGAATGAGTGGGGTTAGGTAAAGGAGGGTTGAATCTTATTATGCCACGTCGGGTAGAATTCTCTGGTATCTCATCTCATCTCATCTCGAGTGAAATCCTTAAGTTCCTGATTCGTCCTCTTGGAAATTTCGATTAGGTTCTTCGACTCGAGAGAAACATCTTGGACTTTTAATCCACGATTCGTAATGATTCGTCATCTTCCTTCCTACCTTCCAACCTTCCTTCCTTCCTTCCTTCCTTCCTTCCTTCCCCGTAGGAGAAGTTAAGTTCGTATTTAAAAAGCTTTTAACGAGTTTATCGGAGTAGAGAAAGAGGAAAGGGGGTGTGAAGGGAAGAGTAAATGGAGAGGCGTTAATAGCAACGATAGAAAATCCGTATAGCCGATCGTTTGTAAGTTCGTTAGGACTACGGGTATCCAGGGGATTGGATTTCCAATATGTTCGAGCACAAGTAAAGTTTCCTTGTTACGACAGCTGATCCTGGATACGTCATTAAAGTTCAAATCGAATTTACCCATCGAGATTTCCCTTGACGAATTTTTGTTTCTTTCTTTAATTTACTCAGGTCTAACGATAAAATTGCATTCACAGCAGCCCGTTAAGTACCCTGACGATTTCCATTTTTTGTTCCTCTTCTTCTGTTTATATGTCGTTGTTGTTAAACCGCTCCTTTGAGATTGAAATAAGCTATACTAATTTGACAAATTCGAACGACGATCGGCCACCGGGCCGTGCATTTTCCTTAGGATTCAATTTTAATATCAACTTATGGGTTAATAATGAATAAAACCGAGAGGAACATTTAGGATGCCAAATACATCATTTTTTCTCGACAACTAATTCGTTTTGCTCAACAACGCCACTGTTATTTACAAATAACCAGGTTTGCAGTAAAAAAGAAAAAACGGAGGAATCTCGTGAGCGAAGAGCGCGTTTCTACATTTTCCATATTTGTTGTTTTCCCTTTTTTCTTACATTCGTTGGTGGGTACACCCTCGAGCGACGTGCTTCGAAAAACACCGAGACGACTTTAAAACTGAACGACCCTGGGGAAAAAGGGGAAAGAGAAAAAGAAAAGAAGAAAAAAAGCGACGTAGAAAATCCCGAAGCGTTTCTAATTTCAAACACCTGTCGTTTGTAAGTAGTACGTAATATTCGCACGGAAAAGCTAATTTGTTTTGAGTTCTCGACGAATTACAATCAAAATGTTTCTTAATTAAAAGGAAAGATAATTGTCTACGATCGTTCCGGTTTAATAATAAATTCCTTTGAAAAAACTTCTTTTGCAATTGCGGAGTAAGAATAATAATAATAATAATAATAATAATAATAATAATAATAATAATAATAATAATAATAGTAATAGCAATAACGATCGATATTGACGATAATAATAATAACTATAATGGTAAGCATCGTCAATCGTGGGCGGGGGTCTCGTCGAGTAGAACGATTGGTTAAAAAAGGTATGGGAAAGGTGCATATCAAAGGACTATTTGTTTTATTATTATTATTATTTCTTTTTAATCCGCAATGGCGTTTGCAAGGACTCCTCAGGATGCACGGGAGTCGGTATGGTAACGATTATTGAGCTTTACTGAGCTTTCTCAAGGAACCTCTCGAAAAGCTTTTTTCCTCTTATCAAGTCAAGGATCTTGAGGAACGAGAACAGGAGACTTTTTTCCTTAATCGACCAATTTAATAATGTCGACGATGATGACGTCACTGATTAATCGAAAGCTCGGTATTAAAACTTGAAAAGATTGTTGCAACTATTGAGATCGCGTATACAAAACTTTCAGCGCGAAATCGGATATTATTTGTAAAAGTTATGTTTTATAAAACATCTTTAATAAAACAGAATCAGGAAAGTGTTTGAATGGCATTAATTATACGTACCCTTTCTTTTATATTAATATTTAATTTGACCTTCCTTGGTTTCAATGACGAACTCTTTAAAGTTTTAATATCGAGCCACTGTGTAAATGCTAAATTTCTAATCGTAAAATTCGACAAAATATTTCAAATATTTCAGGTACATGCACACGCATGAAAATTGTTTGCCTAATTGCCGAAGAAGGTAGTTGCTTCAGTCGAGTTAGTTTTCCTAAATAATCTCATCGGGGAATGGTATTTGAATATTTCAAATATGTATTTTAAATGAACCGAATTATAGACTTTAACGCTTATACTATAGATACAAGTACACATGTATCTATCGTTGTTTCTCATTTTTAGCTTGTATTCGCTCCTGAAATGCATACTCCATATTGCGGTTGAATGGCGGCTGCAACGACTAGGTCAAGAGGTCACTGGGGCAAGGCCGTGGCCCGAACTCCCTGGTGCAACGTGTAAAGAGTCATCCTCAACGCCCGCTGAGAGGGAACCCAGAGAGAAGAAAAAAGAGAAGAGAACTCTTTCTCATTTTCCATCTGTCTCTAAACTCCCCACCTACCTGCTCTTTCGTTTCTCTCTCTCTCTCTCTCTCTCTCTCTCTCTCTATGGCAAAGAGAATTTGAAAGTCGTAAAAATATGAAACAACTATATCGAAAAGTCTTTCGAGAGATTTCGCAAATTGCATTAACCCTTTGCGGACGGGAACTGTTTGAAACTGACAACGAGTGCACTGTTCGCAACAAAATGGTAAACCCGTTTTAATCATATATTACACATACCATATTGATACATTAATTATTCAATAGATAAAGGAGTTAGTTATTGTAATTTTACGTTGTTAAATAATATTGAAATTTTGCGTTTACTCGTTTGTTATTAAATTATTATTTTGTATTAGATATTGATTTAACTTTAAAATATGTTAATACGCTCGACGCGTATTATTACGAGTTTATTCGATTATGCTGATATTTTACGTTGAACGGATACGCGTTGCACAAAGGGCTTAATATTTAAAGGATAAAGATATTTATTTTATTTAGTATTTTTGATGAACTTTTGATCAATAGGAAGTTGGACCGTTTTTTTGTTCGACTACGGAAGTAAAAACACAATTCGTGTATGTTCGTTCTTTGAAAACACTTGAAAGCATAAGGTGTCGCCTGTAAATAGACACCTTAGCTTTCGTATTAATGCACCTACTCATTTGAGGGGTTCCATTTAAATCCGAAGAGGATTATTCTGACGTAAAATGCGAGAGGCTCGAAAAGTTAAGCAGTCAGTTAGTCGGCAAGCAACCATCTAGCGAGCCATATATACGCGTAGGAGGATTAAAACATCATCGCTTTCATTTAGCGTCCTCCTTTTGTCTCCAAGGAGGAGATTCTTGTCCTCTTGCCTTTTGCACTCGGGCCGCGACCCTCGACACGAAAATTCCTTTCGGTCTTGGAGTTCTAAAGTCAGTTCCTCCTCGTCCTCTTCCTCCTATTTACATGCTACATCGCACCGTACGCGGAGAGTAAGAAAGTAGGATGGGGTGTGCGAGAGAGGGCAACCTTGTCGCCCTTCCTTTCCTTATTTTCCATACGTATATGCATAGACATATAGATTAGCCCTTATTCGAAGCGTGCAAATAACGAGCTAAAGGCAAAGAGTGAACGTCGTCTTCCTTTCGCTAGGATTCCCTCGAGATCTGGGTCACTCGACACGCACGAACCTGGAAATGGAATATCGAGCAAGGACGACGCTCGAAACGACGAGAAATATACCCTTTGCCATTTTCACTACGTCCATAAGTATATAATAACAAACGAATAAAAAATGAGTCAACATGAAAGAAATACAAAATGTGAAGGAAATAAAATATCGGATACGTGGTCATGCGTAAAAGTAAACACACGAGTTTAAAAGACAATTATTCGACATTTTAAGGAATATATGGACCTGCGAGTTTCTTCTTCCGCAAGATAAAGAAAGATAAAGGTGCACCGGGCCACTGATTCGATCGAGCGTAACACGATTCAGCTTATATCGGATAAGTTTTACACGGAGAGTATTTTAATTGATTCGATTAGGACGCTCGTTTGGCTTCGACCCTCGTCACTCTTTTACCCGCCATTACTACTTGTAGTGCCTACCGATACTACGAGCAAGAAAATCGAGTGAATAAGAGAGAAAGAGCTTTTTTGGACGCGCTCAGGGCCGATCGAATTTCAAAAGGGGCCTCTCAATTATATTTTCCTACGCCATTGGCGCCGTGGCTGCCTGCTCGCGATGGAATGTTGGCAGCTTGACAACGGCGTCGCTCGTTGTTTTTAGACAAGTCGCACGCGCCCCGATATATGCTTTGCTATAGAATAAGACCTAAGCCGAGTCATTTTTCTTTGTCTTTTTCTATTCCGACCAAATAGGTGGTGTATATATAAAAGGAAAAAAGTTGTACGAATCCGATCCCAAGGTCCAATTCAATTCGTCCAAGATGATACATTTTTGACGCTTACTGTCGTCACGAACAATCAATAATATCGTCCGCATCGTACTCGTAGAAAAATATAATATTTAGTTAAAGACCGGTTACGGTAAAAATAAGCATACGTAAACCGCCGTTAGGTTCATAGTGTTAAATAACGCTGACGCGATAAATACGACCTCGTCGTTCGGAAGAAATAGAAAAATAATGTTACAAAAATTCGTCGACTTACCTCTGGCAGAGAGTTTCTTCGTATTTATGATTTTCGCCGCGAACTCGAGACCGGAACTCTTTTGAACGCATCGGCGTACCACGGAAAAGGCGCCTCTGAAACACAAATGAGTAAACTTCCATTAATACGAAAAACTTATTACGTGGAAAATCATCATGATAAAAGATACATCAATTTAAACAATTTCATTCATTTTTCATTTCTCTCGTGAGAACTTTGAAATATATTTCCTATTTTCTACTCGAATTATAATTTCTTATTTGTGGAGAGGTGAAAGGAACTTCACTCGTAGCTTACTCAATCCTTCCCATACACATAAATATAGAGAAACGTGCGTAATGTACATATACGTGGGTAAGAGTTATGTATGCACGTAACGCCTCTAGTTAACCGAAAACTAAACTTTCTCGATTAGCTCGCGAGTCGAAGTTCGACGGAGTGTGTAAAAGGTTATGCTGGAAGTAGCGTACGATGATGCAGCCACCTGTATGGAAAAGCGTGGGCTCGATTGACAAAGTTTCAACGATCCTCTTTAAGCACATTTCGGAATAAGGTGTCTCGCGTATTCTTCGACAGAAATTTCCTTCAAAGATTGCATTCTCCCGTTTCGATCGTTTCTTACAAAAGTAGTAGTAGTACACTTGAATAAATATCCTACGAATTTTCATTTGGATCGTTCCTTCGAAACAACAATAGAACAAATAGAATATTTCCCTTGCCTTTCATTTGCTCTTTCGCACGTTTTATTACCAATGTATTTGTAAAAAATCTAATTTTGCTCGAATACCAATTAGGATAGAAATAACTCTACGTAAACTTATTAGTAAATTTAACGTTGAAATAAGGATGGAACTTGTGAAATATTTAAACGCGATTATAGCGAGACTAACATTAAGATCTAGGTATATTAATATATATAATGCTCGTTACAATTTGCATTTACCTACGTCTTTGCCGTCGGTGTTTTCTATTATTTATTAATCAAAAGACTATTTACGTAGACTGCGCATCGTAATATTTGAAAGAGTATTTCGTGGATGCATTTAAAGTCTTTTTCCTCTCCTTTTCCTTAGACATTTACTTATTCTCGTATACCTTTCCAAGCGTTACCGAAGAAATTCCCTTTGTGGTCTTCCGTGGTAACGGTGGAGCTTTTAAGACGCTTTACTTCCACCTACATTTCTACGTAGTACTATGCAAGCGAGCGTTTTATACCACCCTATAGCTTTGGGTTCGTTGTGCATCTTCTCGACCCACGGATAGAACGGTAACCGTATTTTCGAGAATTGCGTAAATGCAACGATAGTGCAGCGCAGGGGTTCTCAAAATGTCCACCCTGACGCCATGAAATATTACACAAATTTGACAAAGTTTCGAACCGACTTCTATACCATTCCTGACACGATTTTCATTTTTCCTTGGAATTGTAAAACGCGATCACGCGCAGAAAAAAACAGAGACCACTTTTACGTTTATCTATCTCGGGAAGAGAAAGAGAATTAAAAAAAACAACGTCGCGAGTATATACTCGTTATTCTTTCATCTCTCGCATGTTATCTAAAACTATTCTAATGCTCTCTCTTCTTTTTCTATTTACCTTTTTATAGACGAGACGAGAAAAATACTTTGCTGGCTGAGAGATAGGAAACTTTTTTGATAATAAAAAATACATACGGTACTTTCCATACATTTTTCAAAGCTCGAAAGTAACAAAAAATATTATTCACGGTTTATAGAACGGTTTCGACGCGTAACCTTAAAAACAAACCCATTTATTTGATCAAAGTTCACAATAAAATGTTAATATTATTCGGATGATAATAGTTTACGCAATGTTAACATCGATTTGTAGAATTTCGAAATCAAGTGTAATACCCACAAAGCATTAGGATTGTACATTTTTTGTTCCAAACGACGGATTTTTATTTTCTTGGAATTATTGGGCGGTGGACAGAAAATAAATAATAGTAAAGGGGAGTTCGGGGCTTGAAAGGTTAGGAGAGAGAGTATAATTTATCGTTATTATTATTCCTATTGCTTCAATTTCAAACTAAAAAGATATTAATATATGTAAAATAAGTAATTGGTATTTGAAATAGGGGCAGGATTGCTTCGGGATATTAATGCAAGGCTAGATATTGACGTTCGTTAATAATCGATGTATAATACAAATGTATTTTGTTATTAATATTGTTAAAGAAATGTTTGAAAAATACTGACCACCCAATAAGTAGCAGCTTAGATAGAAATCGAAGAAAAAGAAGAAAATGGGCATAATATCTTTAAAGCGCAATTAATTTTGTCCCTTTTGAAAATCTCATGGAAACGGGGAAGAATTTGTCATGGAGGATCAGAAAAAGGTAATTGTGATTGAAACTCGATGACGAGAGTAAGTACGTCGTTAAAATACTATAATAGTCGAAGTTGAAAGAAGTAGACCGGCGCGAACGCTACTTTAATGTTAGATTTTGCAGGCGCCAGGACGAGGCGCCATTGGAGGCGCCATTCGAAGGCGCCATTCGAAGGCGCCATTCGGAGGCGCCATTCACAGCGCCATTCGAAGGAACCGAGAGGAAAAAGGGCGAGGCACGCTCCGCTTCGTTTCCATGACTACCAATCATTACCGAAGATCGTGCTGCCACCTATCCCTACCCTTTAGAGCCGCAAACCACCAAAACCACCCCCTGACCGACTCTATCTCCACCCTTTCGACTACATACTTGCTTTCACGTGTTTTATAGTCTTATTACGCTTTTTCTTATAACATATTTACGGCCCTATTAATTTCATCATATTTTACAATTATGTACGCCTTAATTCATTTTAAATAAGATATTTCGAATTCATTTCTTCATGGTATATTTCAAATATTTGGAAAAATCTCTTTGTGAAAATGTGAAATCAAGAAATTATTCTAATGAAATACTAGAACAATAATATTATATTTAATTGACTTCTCTCGATGAAGCAAAAGCAACCAACTCCGTCAAACTGTTCTAACATTTTCGCGTATAATAATAGGCGATATTATTTTTATCCCTATCTTTATACGCAAATCAATGAATTGTGAATTGTTCGTTTCTCGAGAATATCCAGAGAGAATCGTTTAAACCTATATATATATATATATATGTTACGATCAATGCAGAGAATCCGGGCATTGTATAGAATGCCCGGAGGGTTTTGGTCAATCCAGAATATATGCATCAGTTGGCAATGTTTGGAGCACGGGGGGGGGGAAGGAATCTAAAGCTATTGTAAGTGAAACAAACAACGAAATGTGTATGTTCGTGCGTGTGTTCGTAGAATCATGAAATGATCATTACTTTCTGTACTGTGAACGCCCACGTGCACAAGCTATCTCAACCGCCTGACTATAAGAATTTAATTTTCAAAATTTCCATGTTATAAAGGCAAAAAAAAAGGTAGTAGTAGTAAAGGTTTGTATGTTTTAAACCAGGAAATGAGGGGGATGACGACCCTACCTATACCCTTACAGCTCGGTTCGTCAGCCGTGAACCAAGTACTCGTTTTAATCTAACAAAGCCCTAAAAAAAACCTTGAAAAATCCTGACGCCATCCCAACAAAACTCTAACGTTGCCCTTCAAAAAAATCCAAATAAAATTTTTCAGTTTTCCTCAACATTTCTATTATATATATAAGTATTACTTCTATTTATTTTGTGTAAGTATGAAAAAATCTTGATGCAATCTTTCCATAATTATGACAAAAATCGTCACGATAGGCTCGGATCTTTTCCAGCCCTTCTCTACGTAGGCACAGAACTTTTCTGTTACGAAGAAGTAATACTTCTGTCTATATCGCGTATGTAAAGAAAATATCCTGACGCAATCCTGCATTTGGTGGGGAAAAAAAGAATGCTCAGGGCAATCTATACAATGCTCGGATTGTGTACATTGACCGTAACATATTCATATATACCACGTATGTGTAATACATATATATATATATATATACTTGAGAATACAAAAATCTCTATCCGCATTTTGTTATCTTGCTATGAATCATCGTTTTCACTATATGTACTCGCATATATATATATATACCTATCTACATACATATATTTCCAATTATAACAAAGGAAAATAATTTAACATTGTTTTCATAATTCGCAGTAGCCGAGCGTATTCGCTGAATGCTTACAAAAGATTAATTATCATGTTTTTTATCATAACCTTTTATTTCTCGATATCTGATTGCACTCTATTAGATTATTTCTCGTTAGTTTATCTCTCGTTTGATTACTAAATTTATATTTTCTTTCTATGTAAAAAAAAATTTCCAGTGTCGCTTTTTCGTTTCGTCATACATTTTTAATAATAATATTTCCTCTACAAGGATTTTTGAAGTTAAAACTTCTTTAATATTGTTATGATTTGAAACTCGACGAAACAAAAAAGCGACACGGAAAAGAGAACAAACATTTACATCTATAGATCGTCCACGAGAATTTAATAATGTCTCAGCAGAAGTATCGCGAATTCTTAAAAAAGATTACGATCAAATTCTAATGTGAATTTTGCATCGTATACAGCGCTCCCTTTAAATGTAAACATTCTCTCGAAGTTTAATTTTCTAAAGATTTCACGTCTACCGCGTGTGTACTGCACGCATGTATTTTTTCTACTCAGAATTTTACGTATAGGAAGAGGAGGAATGGTAGTAAACTCGTAGAAATAATTTTTCTCGACAATGAGCGTCGTTCGTGTAAATTCGCTGGGATTTGCGGAAACAAATAATTGGTTCCGGTAACAAATCGACGAGAGAGAGAGAGAGAGAGAGAGAGAGAGAGAGAGAGTGAGAGCTAAAAACACGTTGCAAGACCATGTCGAAGCCTGCAAAACCCGAGGCGTCTGTTCGCTCTTTCACTGGATCTTATGAATTATGTAAAACTAGAACGTTTAGGAGTACACACGGCTGGATTCGCTTTTTTTATATACCTATATGAAAATATATGAAAATATATCTTATATTATATGTATTTAGGTACATGTATTTTATTTCCTTTATTCTCATTAATATTTCTTTTCTCAGGATCGAATTTGTTAAAATGAACAGAAATAAAAACGAAAA